CAATCATAGCTCCTTGAAACCCTATTCTTTTTTATTTTTGAGTAAATAACTTCTTTATGGGAAAAACAGAATGACATTTTGTTATTTTATGTGTACTGAAACGTGTTCGGTTTTAATATTCCAACTTTCACGAAAAATGTATAAAATATTTAATATGCAAATAGCATCACCAAATACCAGTTGTATTGATACTTAATGTTATATTAATATTTACCAATAATATTGGATATTTAAAAAAAAAAAAAATCGTAAAATTTTATTCAAAACTAAAAAAAAAAACTTTTGATTATTTTTAATTATTTATTTTATTGCAAATCATATTAGTATCTCGTCGTTAAAATGTTTCAATGTAAATAGTCTGTATTAAATTCAATTCAAAACACGTTATAGATAGAAACTAAACTTAATAATTCAAATACGAGTTATGAGTTAAGTAAAAGACAAGGATAATAAAATCTATAACGTATTTATACGTTTAGAATAAATAACATTCATAAAATAAATAATATGATTGACAGAAAAGAACTCATAAACAAAAAATTAATTATCAACTTTCTTGGTTGAAAACCAATCATTTGAGCAGTCAACACTGTTAAAAATTAATAAAAGAAAAAACTGATCTCTGAATCACATACGGCATAGTAAAAATATAACCAATTAGAATAATAATATTTATTGAAAATTAATTTTTTTTAATTTTTATATCAATATTATCAATTAGTGTTGTCAAAATGTATTAATGTAAAAATTAAAAATTCTTTGTGTGTTTTGTGTATTTTTTTTTTCTATGTTTTAAATACTACTAGCCTTTGTATTGACATTAAAAAAAAATTTAATTAAATTCCAATCAGTGTTCGGGGGGACGCGTTTTCGTCCACACGCCGTTTATTCGATCGTTAGTCAGATTAATCCAGCCGGTAGACAATGCCATCAAACGACATTCGTTTTTACGTTAAACTAAACTAGAACGAGTTATAGTTGTAATGGTATTATTGCGGAATATACACACACGGATTGTGGACGGTCGTGGACCGATATGTGGTCGACGCAGGTTGACGATAGATGGTGGGTGAAGACCAAACAAGCGTGCTTTTCAATTAATCCGCCGGCGATCGTCTCTGATATTCTACTAGAGCAGGATTAAAGGAAACACCCCAGACAGATTTATGTACACACACATGCACGCACAAATACACTAAAAGTAATTGAAATGGCATTTGACTTTCTGTGTGTTATTGAAGCGGCAATCTGCAATCAGTGTATTCGCTGGTGATTAGGTGTACATGTTTGTATATAGGACTTCGAAGGAGGTAATTTAAATTTTTTTCCCCGTCTGATCGTTATGCCGAAAAATGTTCATCTTCATTTGTGTTGTGTTCGTTTTACCGAAACGGAACGAATTTTTCGTCGATTCACTCGCTTTTTATGCATTTCTCAACAAGTAAAAAAAATTGACTGAACTTGACTTTGAGTGATTAAAAATAATATATAACATTTTACTATACAGCTTAACGAGATGAATTCGGAATAAAATTGTTGTACGGTCATTAATCTGTGAGTGGAAAACCAAAATCAACCATTAAATCTAAACGTCCTTTGTATGCTTTTTTTATAGTACCTACGTGTAATGCCGAATGCTTCGCCGTGACTTATATACACACACTTCACTAATCCCTCGAAGAAACTTCCGTGCGGTGTGTAGCTTTAGTGAAACAACGTTAACGGTTCCCAAAACCCAAGTGGATTTGTAATAAATCCCTCGAAAGTCGGTTTCTTTAAGATGTAGACAAAGAAACTATGTCTTTTTATTTTTTGATTCTTAGCTTGTGTAATCTTTAGCGAACGACAGTGGTAGAAAATGTTGTGCGGAAAATACCACAGCCACTGACTGATCAATTATATGAAAATAAATTCATAAACCTTTTACGTGTGTTTTATCCTTAATTATAATATTAATTTAGTAGCATAAATATTGGGAGAAGCTGAAAAAAATTATTCAAATTATCACTACGATTTCAAAACTTTTTCCACATATAGTTACGACATATAATTATTCACCAAGAACTTGGTTCATGAAGGATTATCGCGAAAGGAAATCTAATGAAGATATGGAAATATATTATAATTATTCATTTTTACATAAAATCCAAACTATTTCGAAGTTTAAAAGTATATTTTACTTATGTTCTCGCCAATATTTATAGAAATACCACGTCAAATATTTTTTTGAAAATTTGATTGCGTACAACATAGTTATCCTATATTACAACGTTAACCTGAGCTTAACTATGTTTAACATAGAACCCAGACAAAAAATTGTTAGGTAGACAGTAGGCATTAACAGTAACAAAATATTTCCATTCAATCAACCAACATTTCTATCATACATTAATATTTAAAACTAAATTATCATTATGTACTATGCGCAAATTAATTTCTAATTATTATAAGAGGTTTTGATTAAATTTTATGAAATGTACATTATATTTTTTTCCTTAGTTCTAATAATATTTCATTTAGTAAAATATGATACATAATTATTATAATAAAATACTAGCAACCATGTTTTAACTTACAAACTGTTAGTTTTTGCATAATAATATTATAAAAATATGCATTATTATAGTAATATTGAAAAATTTACTATAAAATCATAAGATGATAATTGTAAAATATCACAGTTTACTTAGAAAATAATTTAAATCGAAGTAAGGAATATTTTTAAATATTTATATCACACTGAGTAAAAATAAAAAGATGACAACATGGCAACAGTTGTTAATTCAAGCTGTCAAATTGTGTTTCCATATTATTCAATCAAAATGTTCAATAGTATAATATTAGTAAAGAGTTAATTTTTTTAACTATCACAGCAAATAGTTTTTTTTTCAAATTTTTACATTTTTTTTTTTTACGTGCAATGAAAGTGTTATTTTTATTTCTTATATAAGTTATGCAGATATTATGCAGATATTTACGGATTTAAAAAAAGCACAAATCAAGATAATTTTCTTACAACAAAAAAAAAATTGTTTCTACAACCATTCAACGTGTCACAACCAGAAATACATGTGTATTTTTTTTTTTAAGTCGGTGATTTAGTAGTAATCAAAAGTGGCACATACACTGCAGATCCACTTATACCTAAATCTCTTGAAACAAAACAAATTGAAAAATACATCATAATATTTTGTCTAAAAATAACTCTCATAAAACCACAGCTTTTAAATCATACATTATTTAATTTTTTAGTTGAATAACTCGTTCAAAGTAAAAAACAAAAAATAATTTACATATATTTCTGTGATATTTTATCTAAAAATGAATTACAAATCGGCAACTTGAATATTTTAAAGTCAATGTGTGATAAATCAAATATGATATATTTGACTAATCGTTCATCGTAATTTAGTGAATATAGTTATAATATAAGTTTTGTGGAGTTTGTCTTACTTACTACCAGTGTTGCCATTACACGAAAATATACGTGATCACAATACAAACGAAACGCATATTAGTGCAAATAGTTTATTCTCAAAGGTACATATACACATGTACATAGATAATTAAGTATTATGGATTGAATCATTTCAACTGGGAATTATCTGCAATCATTTTACAAACTTTCATTGTTTATATAACTTTTTTTTAAATATAACTTTAATAATACACTGGACTCAATACATATAATATTATAGCATACATTAAAAAAACTCTTCTGTGCAGGCACAAGTCATCGAAGTGAAATTTCCGTGACATTAGTCATGGTGATATTAAACTAATAAAATATAATCTACACTACCTACAGTTACTGTCGTAGAAGTTTCATTTTTATTATTTGTGTTTGCATAAAATGGTTTAGAAATCAAAATGAGATGATATATAAAAGAGGGAAAAATACATATTTATAGAATAACATACAATACTGTTTAAATATGAATATTAGTTTTAATTTACTTCGGTTTCTGTAATCTGGACATAATTTTTTAATAATATACAAACTATATAATAATGGAAAAAACACTACCTACTCAATTTTAAATGTTTCAAAAATGTTTTTTCTTTCTTTCAATTTTGAACGTGGGGCATGTAACCATGTGCCCCATAGCACGATCTACCACTGTTTGTCATACAATACAATAAAATAATATAACTATTGTAAAATTATATTTACAAATATTTACATTAGTAACGTCAAGTTACAATAATAATAATAATAATAATAATAATATAATATTATTATTATTATTATTATTTTAATTAAAATAATTATATTTATCTTTAATTAAAATGAATTGATTTAGGCTTTAATCCAACATTATTTTAATGTTAATTTCAATGCATTAATAATAAATAACTTGATATTACTTGTGATGAATATAACGAATATGTTTGCTATTTCCTAGAAAATGACGCGCATACGCGTGTATTATAAATCGTGACGGATTTTCGTCTAATGGATGGTATGTCCTTGAAAATGTACTCCCAGCGCGCGTATAGAAGTTTTACTTCAAAAATTAAAATAATTTTATGAGTTTTGACACATGATATTGATGATGATAAAATATAATTAAAATAATAGAAATTGTATATATGATTATCGGGATACAACTTTCATAAATAGATTATCTGATTCTGTCCTTACTCCGTGATCCATTAAAGCAGATTTTTTATCGTTTTCTGATATTTTTCCCCGTATAGTTACTATGAATTATGATCCAAAAAATACGAAGTTCATATTCTATAAACCGGTCTTATTAATAGGTACTACATTTTTATATGATTATTATTATTATTAATTATGCAGAATATGGTACGTATGTTAAACCAATGAAACGTCGATTTCTAAGCCTTTTTATAACAACGGTTGTTATCGATGGGTATACGTTAATCGATAAATCTTCGTGTCAACGTGCTTGTTCAATACTTGGGCATAACCTGATGGTGATTTACTAGGTACCTCTTATTACTTTACCTATCAGAAATTCAAACTGACGTACCTTAAGTCCGGCTGCTGCGTTGCCGTTCACGATGGCCGTGGCTGCGGCTGACGGGCTAACCGCGTTTGGATTACCACCGTTGGATAGCGTGGCTACAGCTGCGGCAGTGGCGGCCGCGGCGGCTGCTGCGGCTGCTGACCCACCACCGGCAGGGGCAGACGGCTGTGCCGGGCAAGCGATGTGGTTGCCGTAGTTGGCGGGCATGGAAAACGGAACGAATAACATCTGTTGGTGCGACAGCTGGTGCTGGTGTTGATTGGCGGCCAATGCGGTGGCGACGTGACAGTGGCAAAAGCCGTCCGCCAGTTGCGACTGGTGATGGAGGTGTTGGTGGCTTCTTGTCACGTTAGTGGCCGGAAGATGAAGTTGTTGTGTCTGTGGGTACGGCAACGTCCTGACGGCCAGTCTGCAGTTACCGCGAAATCGTACAGGTCCAATCGATGAGCGTATCGACTGGTGCTGATCCGCCGGAAAAGCGTAACAAGAGCACTGCGGATGTGGAGGTGGCAGTGACGGAGGTGAAGTCAGTGACTGTGGAGTCAACTGAATCGCAAAGTTTTTAACGACAGCAGTGGTCGCTGCAACTGATGCGCCGGTATGGTGGAGGTGCTGGTGATCACGGATGTCGCACAAGTCGCAACCAGTGGCCGCGGTGGCAGAGGTGGCGATCACGTGTTGCTCCTGTTGCTGTAAACCACGGTCGTGGTAACCGATCACCAAACGCCTCTTGCGATGAGTTTGCGCGGTATCGGTCGGTATGGCGGCAGTCGTGATACCTGCACTGGTTGCTCTGGTGAACGGTTCCGACGACCCCTTCAACGTTGTTATGCCGTCCGTGGCTAGATCACTAAGTCATATCCCGCGCGCGTGTGACGGTCGGCTCGTTTCGCGTGCGTGATCGAATCCAGCTAAATGACGAACGGGGGACAGAGACACTGAGCGTATGCGCACGAGTAGGATTTTAATGATATGTGGGCAGTGATTAGATTGACGACTGCGGGTGGAGAGATCAGATAAAGGATCAAGAGCAAGTGGTGCACGTTGGGCGGACGAGCGAACGGACGAAATGAGAATCGGAACGGCGAATGGCAAATAAATAGGAAATAAAAAAAAATCGTCCGCGGCGGCGACACACAGACACGTGGGAGCGTCGTATTTCGGTAATAACACACACACTATCGGCGGCGGCGTACACTGAGCGCGAACCGTCGGCGGCGGCGGCGGCGTATACGGCGGAGATTGCACAGCGTGTTTTCGCTTCGGTATAATGAGCAGAACTACTACCACCGCGCGCCGTTGGATCGGCGCAAAGGGGGTGTCGTAGGATGTTGCCGATCAGACTCGTCAGAGAGCGCCTACGGAACTTTTTTTTTTTTATCCCTCGCGCCCGCCAACGTGAACGCGTGCGTTACGTTTTTATGTGCCGCGCGTGTGTTGGGCTCGCTCTTTTAAAGGCCGATACCCGATATTAAAATGCATAAGTATTAGCCCGTCTATTCATTCCGTAGACTGAGGCTATTGTATTTGCTCGATGACGATCGAGACAAAATCGACGAGCCGCAACCATCGATTTTCCGATTTTTCGTTTTTCTTTCTTTCGTCCAGGACACATTTCGCCTGATCGTATAAAAATGCCTAGCGCGCAGTATTACGCGTCCCACTACGATTAAAATCTACTACGGTGTTTTAAATATCATAAAAAGTTATACGAATCGAAGCGTTTATTTTCAGCTGTCTGCTGTATGGTTATTGCGAAATAACAATAATTATTGTTACTTCAGATTCAGAAAACATAAAAAAAATCGTTAGGTGACGATGTCTTGGTAAGTATTCCAACAAAAAGTATAACATCTACACATCTGTACGTAGGTATGTGCCACCTAAAATCATCATCTGCAATACCAAAAATTTGTGACTCCGGAAACATATTTGAATGTTTTCTCTGTTACAGTTATTGTACGCCTACCAAGACCGAAACAACCGATATACACAAATACACACACAAACTACTTAAGTAATTATATAATGTATTTATTTTTTATTTATTTTTTAATAGTACTTAAATCCTCAGTAGCAGTGGCCGTTTGTAAACATAGACTTATATGTATATTATACTAAAATACACTAACGAATACAGATTAAATAATAATTGATGGGTGACATGAAATACGTTTATTATAAGTTAGTTCTATATTGTTTTGTTTCTCTTATTTATAATGTTGAAAGCTGGTTTTATTTCAGTGCAGCTGGTCTGAGAAACTTTGAATAGTCATTAGAAAATTATTAGGTTTTTGGTACTCATTAAAATGCGTTTACCAGAAATTATAAATCCCCTATTTAACGCCGTCCGTTAGTTAGTAGGCACTGGTTAATAGTCACTTATGAACACCATTGTTTTTGAGAATTTTGCAAATGCTTAAGTTGAAATAATTTGAAAAGCATATTGTTTAAACTATAAAGGTTCATATGATATAAAGGTACAATAAAAATACTTCCATTATTGTTTTATTATGATGGCAATACCTTGTGCGCGGGTTTTGCGAAATCAAGATCGTCAGTCGAATTATATGTATCACGAAGAGAATTTAACTTCCGATTCTAAAACCCATACAATGATATTTTGTATATTTTTATTCATTTTTATGTACGAAGCAATAACAATAAAATCTATGACAAAACAAAAACAAAAATGAAAGTTATAGTTACGATGTTCAGTTTCTCATGATTAAACGACTTTGACCCGATAGAAAATCGAAAAAATTATGAAATTGTGTCGTTTAATTTTATTTATATTGTATTTAAATTTATTTGATTAAGTGGATTGTGAGTTAAAAACTTGATATACAAGAAATTTTCCAGTAGTTTCTACATACCTGATTGTATTATAAGTCACGATAGTTCTATGATTAATGATATTATTTAAATAGATTGACACCTACGTCATATAAAATATAAAATAAATGAATAAGTTACATTGATTAAGAAGCATAGTACTACAAGTGTTTTATAATTTTAGAGATCAGAATATTTATTTACAAAATAGTTATTTAGAATATTATTTTTGGTTTTTAATAGTACAAACCACAAGCTGACATCATTGGTTGGAAACGTCATTAAATAAAACAAAAAAAAGTTTGTTATCATTCAACTCTATACATTGCACAGCGATGTGGCTTAGATTCATCAGTAGCTTAATCACTAAAAAATATATTTACATATTTCGCACAACGCATGAATCTATAATCTATGTACAAAAGCTAATTATAATATTATTCTTTCAATTTTATCACACACATACACAAATGGTAAAATTAACATATTTATCATGATCATCACTCATTATAAAATAATAAAGAGTATAAATATTGTATGAAATTATTTAACTACTTAATTTAATATAATTATTAAATAAAAATGTTCGATTATTGAATAATAATAGTTTGAACTTGGAAGTCAACGAGTGGCAGGGACCAATGACAGTCCACTGTTTTATCAACGAAATTGAGTAAAAATGATGATATTGATTAAACCACGATGTTTGGTTGTTTAATACATTTGAAATCGTTTACATATATGTCAGTATCACTACCCTTTAAACTATTCCATTTAATAATTAAAATGGAATTACATTTGCACTATAAACTGTATAGTATCGACAGTATCGTTAACAAAATAGGAAAACTAATCAGAATCACTTTCACAAACGCAAACATTATTTTTCATATTTATAGAAGACGCATTGATGACCTGAACGTTTTGTGTGTTGGTGATTTTGAGAAAATTTTACTGAGCATTCTCAGTCTGTTATCTTCTGACGGCCGAAACACCCAAAACCTGCGATTTTATTTTTAGATTATCAACAAATAACAAATTTATGTAAAAAAAAATGACATCAATAAAATTTAATAATATTTAATTTGCCATATTTAGATCTTATTTATATCTTAAATTAAACTGCTATTTAGTCATTTAAAAATATACCTATAACGATTCACAATTGAAATTTAAGTAATGTTTACACAGTTCATATCACTGAAATTGCATACCTAGCGTATAATGTACGAGCTAAAAATGAGTAAATAGTTAATTTGTTTTATCAGCTGTATCTTAAGGATAGGTATATTTTTCATTCGAAATCCAGTCAACTGGATCAGGGGGATCAACTTTGGTCAGGGGTCATAAAGCGTGTATTTTTGTGTATTTTGTTTTCTAAGTTACGTAATACGATAAAATTTAGATCATGAACATTTGCATTTAAGAATACATCCTTATTTTGTGAACAATTGTTTTGAAAGAAGATTTGAAATTTAATATTTTCAGAAATTACGCCATTTATTTATAATGGTTTAAATGAATACGTTATATTTTTATCCTTGTGTATAATATTAATTATACCTACCATCAAAACTTTAGAACTTTAAATGATAATAGTTATTGTCTCTAACTATTAAATCAGTATTATACTTTAGACTACAATAAAATGTTTTAAAAATATACTTTGGCCTTCAATTAAAATTGATTATCGTTTTTGAAATATATAATTTTATGATAAAAATAAAACCGTTTTCATTAATAGTAAGCCAACTATGAAAACTTAAATTTTTAAAGTATTAATAATTTCTAAGATAATAACTCTCATTACGTTTTACAGACACATATACAATCATCACAAGCTTACCACAATATTTTGACTTATACAATATTTATTATACGCATGTAGTTCATTTTAAAATAAGAGGGATAGCTTTAATAGTAAAACTAAATGGTATTTTCAATTTTAAATTTGAAAAATTTAGATTTTTATCTCTTAATTAATGTTGTAATACATATTTTTAATATTATTAGTGTGTTTTATGAACTATTTATTTTCAGTTGATAATATCATCTCTAATATCTCAAAAAAAAGATATTACGTGACCATATTATTTTTTTCATCTATATAGGTATATACATACATATCATCTATATATGATAAATTTATGACAATCAATACTTAAACTTGTCTGCATTCTACTATCGATATGATAAAACCAATACAATACTATATGACATTGTTTGCGTTTGTAATTTTTATTGATAATATGCATTTTTGAATTTTATGTAACATATTTTGGCATAGGATTTTTTCTTGGTGGCATTTTTACAACTTAATTACACATTTAAAATATGATCTAGTAATGAAAATCTCAATAAACAATAATTTTAAATTTCAAATATTTGAAAATAGTTATTAGCATATTATGCCTTAAAAACACAAACTGTGAGCATCAAGTCAAAATATAAATTGTATATCAAAAAACATCAAAACTCACCTCATGTTACCTATTAACAAATCCTTCTTTGATACAAACGCATAAAAGTGTGTTCTAAAAAAGGAATAACTTTTAGTTATCCATCATACAATATCCATCATAATAAAACACAATAGTAACCAATGCCCTAAAAACTAAAATAATATATTTATGTATTATTATATTAATGTAACGTACTTCTAGTTGTAGTTTTATAGAAATTAATAATGTTATCATTGAAATGAGAGCATTATTGTTATTAATAATTTACATCTTCAACTGCAACTAGGTATATATATTTATCACTACAATATATTTAATATATTAAAAAAAAAAAAAACTGCTCTAGATTTATCATTTTATTAATCACTATAAATACAATAAGTACCCAAATAATATTTGCGTCTTGGTTAAGTACTAAGTAAAACTATAGCTATAGCTAACTATTCATTCGTGATTTTCACTGGTAGAAAATAAATTTTTTATCATCCCACTACTAATAATTATCAATTTTTACATTACTGTTATACTGTGCAGTGATACCTGTCTTTATTCTATTAAAAAGCATTTTTTTTTTTATATATACATACATATATATATATGATAATATAAACATAAATAATAATAAAAAAATAACATACAAATTCGTTATGATTTTGTTATTTGCAGAACCACCCCATTCCCCGCATTTATATCGACCAAGTTCAATACAATTTAACATAATTGGTTGTTGAGTTGGTTTTAATGTTCAGTTTTAGTATTATTAGAACTATTGTACAATTTACATCACGGTTGAACGAACAATAATTATCAAACTAATCAATGATCGAAATAATTGCATATCAAACTTAAAAAACACCACGATCACGGTACGAGTTAGACGTTAAACGATCTTGCCGAATCCGGAACAACAATAATTTAGACACAGATTCGCGTCCGTGAAAAAAAAATTTCAAATAAAAACA